TCGCTGGCGCGCAGCAGGCTGCCATAGGCACGTGCCGTTGAGTGGAGGCGCCATTGTGGCAGGACGTGGAGGAGGTGGAAGGAGACCTGACAATCAATGCCAGCCTGGGTTTAAGACTGACCACTTGACGTGGGCGAACATCTGCCAAAACAAGCAAATTTGGCGAACATCTGCTGATGTTTCCTGTGCCGAATCATATCCCAAAAGCACCTCCCAACGATCACAGGAGCTGATGGCGGCGCCCAAGAAGAGCACATCAACGGTGCCCAGGTCGGCGGTCTGTGCCACCAGCTGAAGGACTTGAGACCAACGGCCTGATCGAAGCTAGGAGCAGGTTGGAATACCCGAGCCGAGGCACCACCTGGACGGAAGGTCTCCATGCTATTTTTGGCAGAGATACCTCGTAGATCCTGGTAGCTACTCTCGTAGCTCTTGGGAGATTCAAGGGATTCTGGGTAGACTTGAGGATTCTTGGTTGAGTTCACGGGAAGGGGCCTCCCGCATAGATGATCGTCATTGATGTGACCTTGTTAAATGAACAAATCCAGCGAACAACATGCAGGCGCTTTTTGAGCGATTTGCTATTTGTTGGCCTTGCAAGGTTTGCTCCATCGACAACATAGGACCAATATGGGTTTGGGTAGTTCGGGATTTGGGAACGATTGAAACACCATCCAATGTGGGTCATCAACATCTAGCCCTGTGAAGCACGGTCAAACTCTAGTTTGGCTCAGCTCATTTCAGTTGGCGGCGGTCAACCCTACGGCCTAGTCACATGCTGACAAATATGTCGTGCTGTTACAGTAGCTGCATTCTTGTCTATTCATGGCTCTCAAGATATGCCGATCTTGTACCAACGGAAGGAACATATGAACATATTTGTCACCGACAAGCCCAAATCTCGAGCACATGAATGAATTGGAGGGGTCTTTCGGTAGCATTTACTCAAGCATCGAATCCCTTCCGCTCCCAGCAACTCAGGAGTCCATGTCTAAGAAAGCATTCCACAAGCAACATATCAGGCGTTGTGCTTGGCCTTGAATTCTGAACCAGGCAAAGAGGAATGCACAGTATGCCCGTGTCTAAACCTTGGACCCTCATGCGGCTTCCTCCGGTACCTTTTTTTGTCCTTTTGAACAGCCGGTGCCCCAAGTTTGAGTCCTCACGCTCAACTGGGTCCTGCAACTCTTCCAATTCTTCAACATCACTCTTCTCCTGGTCCGGACTCACTCGAAGTCCAGGATGATCACTTGGCAAATGATGACAATCCCTGAAAGCGCCTTCTCCCAACTCCACCACTGAACTGGGCACCTGGGCATCTTCCAACAACTCACAGTCCGCAAAGGCACCAGCGCCAATGCCGAAGACCGAGTGTGGGATGGACACACTCTTGAGGGATGTGCAGTATGCAAAGGCATTCTGTGAGATATAAGTCACTGAGACGGGAATCGCCACACTCAACAAGGAGCTGCAGTGGCTGAAGGCCATCGCGGCAAAATAGCGCAAGGAGTCCGGGAGTGTGAGTGTGCTCAAGGAGCTACAACCCGAAAAGGCTGCAGACCCAATACCTACGAGAGACTCCGGAAGTGTGATGCTGATTAAAGAGCTGCAATTGGCAAAGGCAAATTCTTTGATGTGGGTCACTTTGTCAGAGATTGTGAGGGTACACAAGGAGCTGCAGCCACTGAAGGCGCTCTCCCCGATCATCGTGGCGGAGGCAGGGATCGTGACGGTTCGCAAAGAAGTGCAATCCTTGCTGTGAGTCGTGGATGCACTCCTCTCCCCAAAATATCCAAACAGTCCAAACTATTCACCTCATAAAACACGTTCTGTGAATAAATTTGTCCGATAGTTTGTTCATCAAACTAGTTGTCGACCAAACGCAGTGGTAAAACGGAATTTGTCAGTGCCTAGAATCTTTAAACAGCCCCTCGGCAACCAGCGACAGTGAGTCAGGCAGCACCAGCGTGTCCTTAAATTTGCTACAAGTCGGCAGAAAGCAAACATCAAAATAACAATTTGGTGAACACGTCAAAACCAAGGTCTGGGTTTGAGCCACGAATTGATGATGGGTATCGTAAGGTTCAACCGACAGGAATCACTCTCCTTTAACCTCAACATGCTGCATACAGTAGTGGCTTGTTTTGGAGGTGTACATGCATGAAGCCAAGCTTATCCTTTTCAGGGCCTGTTACCATGACCCAGAACCACGTCTTTCATGTGGGATTTTCTTCATCTTCCCGCAGCTTTGGCAGCTCTCCACGGTGGCTCAATTGGGCCCAACCAAAAGATCTCAAGCATTGTACCAATTATAGGACCGGATGACCCCACATGTTAGGAAGGAGGAGCGGATACTACAACTTCACCAAACGAAAAATCCACACGTCAATGTGGGAAAAAAAACACACACACACACAAGAAACAAGCCTGCAGAAAACACGCACGACGATCAGTCGCACATCTGATGGGCCCCAAAGACCGACTTGCAAGGACTCCACGTTGTCCATTTTCTTTGGGGCCATGACCAAAGCATCAACCTCCGAGTGTCTAAAGATCTGCAATATGCAAAGGTATAGTTTCCCACTTCCCTCAGCGCCTGCGACATCCGCACGCGAAGTAACGCGGTGCAATATCCAAAGGCCAACTCGCCGATGTGCGACACGGAGTCCTCCATGGTGACAGATGTCAAAGCACTGCAAGCTGCAAAGGCCTGGGATCGATCTCCGGGATGTGGTGAGAAAGACACGGATCGATCCGGGTGTGTGAATGAGAGAAAGGTGGTATCACCCAACCCTATTGTCCCCATGTGAGTCCAAATTCTAGGTCAGGGTGCACACTGAGGGTGCTAGACATGTACCCTGCCATCCGAATCCAATTCCATTTCAACCTTAAGACTTAGACTTAGACACAAAAAAGCCAAGTTCAAGGGATGAGGGCATCCCTTCTTCCCAAACAAGTTTGAGGGGACATCTCATTCGAACTTCAACCGAAAGGCGCCTGGTTCTGGATGAGCATGGTTGAGCTGGGTATCTGGACAACCAACAAGGAGTCTCGGTCGTATCCAGAGGTGCTTTGGGAGATGCATTCCACTGGGCTGATGCTGCTGAACAAGACTTGGACGGAGACACCTGGGCGAATTCCCGCCTCCATGATGGTTTCATCATCTTCAACCAGCTGTTTGTCTTGCACAATGACATCCACGCGACTAAGCTTGCGCGTCAGTTCGTCAGCAGCAGGCTGTAACCCTTTCAGTTCCGCCTTGAAATCTCTGACTTTCATTTCAGGCACGACTTGGACCAGGACATCCTCGCCTTGACGCTGATCATCTGCATGCTGAACAAAGATGTATGGACATCTATGTAGTACGTAACAACAGTTAAATAGGTGCGTCAATGTGACAATGTGTATATATATAATATAGGATTATATTGGATGTACATTCATGGCATTGAATGATGCATTGCAAACAACATCAACAACATCCTCTTTTTTCGGAAAAGACAGGTCACCACTCATCAGGCAAACTCGAATCGCCATCTCCATGGCGATTCGTGCGCTGCACAAAGCTCGCAGTGAACATGTGCTTCCTTCTTCATGCAAGAAAATTGGGAAGGCTATCAGCAGGAAATTAACATGGACTCCTTGCTGAGTAGATGATCATTTGTGCTGCAAAGGAGTCTCCAGTGTTTCCAGAAAGCACTTCAGCTACCGCCAAATCCGTGAAAAATCCTGTAGGACTACGCTGGAGGACTACTCTGCGACAGGTGGCTGCGCACGATGGTGCAACAAAAACACGCGGAGATGGCTGCAACACATGGAACGATTCCTCTTGGGCCTGACCTTGCTCTCTCATCCGTCAACAAGCTCCGATGCGCTTGACACAAAAAGGAACAGCGGCAACCTTTGAAGTGGTACCCTGAACCCTTAGTGTCTATCAATGCCAGACTTACCCTTCACGTTCTCACTTCCTGAACTTGGTTTAACAGAAATAACAGAATTGGTCTGCCGTTTGGCCAACAGAACTTGGCTTTTCAGGATCTCGGATGCATTCCGTGCTTCAAGGCCCAAACCCAATGCCATGCCACGAGGGACGGAAAGCAAAACAACGTGGGCTCCTCTGATGGAAAGTCAGGATGCCATCAACAACCTGCCGTTGGTACATACCAATTCTTCTTCCTCCCTGTACAGTTCTCTTTGCTTGAATAATCTGGACTGGCTCCATATGACATCCAGAAAAGTCATGAGTTTATGCACAACTCGAAACGCGTTCTTGATAAGCTTGAAATGTTCAAAGGATTTCATCACAAATGGGACCACAGTTTCAACACCAGCAAACTCCCTATTTTACCTCGCTGCCTGTGATATTTCTTTGCCCACAGTTGTCCACCCCGTCTTCTGTTTGCCCCTTTCTCCAACCCTAGTAATTGGTACCCTCTTGACCTGCCACGGGGCCTTGACATGCAACGGTGGTCTTGGTGACCATGACGAGGCCCTTGGGAGATGCTTCCAGACCATGGCGATAGCAGGACTCTAAGGCAGCAAGCCACGAAGCCATGGCTTGAGCCGAAGCATGCCGAAGCCAGGGCTTTGGCAAGTCCGGCAAGAAGTTCACTGAAGCCAATGGCTGGGGAGCACGGAAGAAAATCATCCGAAATCACTCGCCTGAATCGTTGTTTTGAGATGAAAAGCAACGTTCTGTTTTTTTTGTTGTATGCTTTGGGGATGCTTGGGGTGCAGAAGGCTATGAGTCATCCCACAGTGTGGGCAGGGCCAAAGACTGGAACACAGCAAAGACCAGCAAGGGTGGTTATGGTTCATGCCTCCGCAGGCCGGGCATACAATCTTTACATGCCCCACAGATGCTACTGCAAATGTTGCACAATTGGGTCAAGGACATTTACAGTCATGTTGAATGCCTTGAGGGCTTTGATAGTCATCATTGAATCATCACTGAATCATCACTACGTGAAGTCTGGTGCTTTGCTCGATCCCATTTTTTGCCCGAAGGGGCCGCGCGAAGGGGCGAAGGACAGCTGACCGTTTGGCCGTGCCCTCCCTGCCGTTTCGGAAGGCATGGGTCGAGGCAGTCTCCATGCCACACGATGCCACACGATAGGTGCATCTCATGAAATGCATTTCCTTCATCGCACTTTTTGGATGATGAAACCGTTCAAAAGATCTGGGATCTGGATCAGCAACTGAGAACTGACGGCTTGCTGTTTCCACGGTTCACAGTCGCTCCAGTCACACTCCAGTCCCGTCTTCATCTCCGTGTCTGGGTCACAATTGTAGGGTCCTGGGATTGTGAAGCTTGCTGATGAACCCACTTGATGGCCACCTTCGAACACTTCCTTGACTCCGTTGGCTCCGCCCACCCCGTGCGCTGGCATCGCTGGAACCGCCGCGCTGGTCGTCGGGGAACTTCCAACCTTGAACACTCACCTGGCAGCGAGAGATGACATGTCAGTGTCCAAACGTCGCAAGTGATCCTTGACTTCTTTTCCAGGGCAAACGTGTGGGCGTTTGCCGGACGGAGCTAGTTTCCAGGCCTGTTTCAAGAGAACCCCCGCAACGGGTTCGGCTGTTTGGCCCCCTGAGACCCCTCCTGTGTGAGAGCACCTGCGGGATCTGTACTCTTCGAGCGGCAAGGAATTGTCAGGATCCCCACCATTCTTCCCAACGAGGCGTCGTGCTCCAGTGAAAGTGAGGCGGAAACCTCGCCTGCCCCAATGAGGTTGAATCTGAGGGTTGTCTCCTCAGCTAGGCACAAACCTGATTTTTTGGTGGCCGGAGATGAATGTGAAGTCGGTCGAAATTGATTGGTATCTGATAGCTGTATCAGTGAAGGGAAATGGGACTCAGGCAAAGGCCTATTGAGTCTCCAGAAGCACCCCAGGACACAAAAAACATGTTTTAATATGTTTTAATTTAAGTTTTAATACTTTCCTGGACTTTCCAGAAAAGTTGGGGAGTTGGGGTGGACACGAGACGTCAATGAAGGAAACAACCTCCGTCTCTGAGACGGCCCCATCCGATTCGTCCTCTGAAGGAGCAGCTTTCCCCGAAAACTCCCGGGTGCTTAAGAAATACAGCCAATCCACTGTGTAGAGGCCTTCTACACTTGCGAAGCAAAGCACCAGCAAGGCTCTGATTTAACAGTAACATTTGATCCTATCACAAAATATCACATCACATCAAAAACATGTAGAATTACCAACACTCATATCTGGGAAGCTTAGAGTTTTTCATGAGGGATGTGCATGACAACTACGATCCTCGAAGCACAGCCACTACCATAGGTTTCTACAAAACACTCCATGGCCTCCAAGTTTCCTGCTCCACTTTCATCTCCTCGAGGTGCTGCAGCTGGGAACGCAACGCCTCTGGAGCGCTCGATATTTCCAAGACACTCTCCTCGGCGATGTCAGATCTCAACAAGCGTTCTGAATGAGCGACAACAGCCAACTATACAAACTAATATGAGCGTCTGCCAAAACATCCTGTGAAGACGAGGACATGATTCAGCAACGCTATGGCTTCAGCAACGCTATGGCTTTTGAGGTGGTCCACTATCCTTTCTAAACAAGCCACCAGGCCACAATTTCAGCGTAGCTGAACATACATATAAAAGCTGCGGCGACATGGTTATCACTTTTGAGGAGGGCCTGTTGCTTTTGCAGGTTTTGGCCAATTCCAGAAGCTTACGCCCACTCGTTGTGGCCTTATAATGGTCATCGCACGTTGTGGCCTTAGGACTGTAGGAGCTCGTTTCTCTCTCTCTCTCTATGTTGGAGTTTCTGGGCCTGCAATCGTCCAGTCAGCAACGTTAACCTTTGCTATCCAGGGCTGAGCTTTGGTGAAAGGTTGTGTCCTAAGTACTGTCTTCCTTGTGTGTTTCTTTCTGTTTCCTGTATGGTTTGTATATGTTTGTACAGGTTCATGTAGGGTTCTTGCTGGTTCTCATGGGAAACCACTTCTAGTGAAGCGATACCCTATGAAAAACCTAGCATAGTAATTTCTTGAAAATCTTTGGCTGGGTTAGCCAGAGTGGTAGTGAAGAAAAAGGAGTGTGACATGTGGTTGAACGAAACTATGTATGTTCATATTCAAGTGGAGATGTCCGATCCTAAAAATAAGGACTTTTTAATAGACTATATGTATATATATATATACATATTCTAAAGCTGCCTGTGCACAATCGCGCCTGAAAAAAACCACCTCCAAGTGATCTCATTGAGGAAGTCTCTGAAGGCCCGTTCCATGAGGCATAGGGGGTGTTCCACTTTCATGTTTGCGGGAGGGGATCAGATCTCTGTTCAAGGATTCTGGGCACATTGTTGATGTTTTCCCAAGAATACGCTTAAGAAGTAAACACATAAAGCTGACATGAAGATATACTGAATACTGAATAAGTATGAATAATAAGCCACAAAGCCTTTCACTGGAATGTTGAATACGCTTAAAAAACCCAGTCGTCGCCCCGTAACATTCAGGAGAAAGTGCATCTGATCGACCTCATGATGTGTGTGTATGTGCGGGTTCACCAAGAGCCCAAAGCAAGGCAAATGACCATCCAAACTGGATCGTTCCGTTTATGTGGTGCTTCTGTTGACATTAGGTTGGAGTTGGAGGCTTAGGTTGCAGGGCTTTGATCAAAAACAACCATCTGATCCTACCAAGGCTCCGGAATCTTGCTCAATTCCTCCTGGCACCACCGCTCCATTGCACTGCTAAGGATGAACATATTGAAGTTCTCGACGTCGAATGCTACGAAGAGGTCTTCGCTCGCCACCACCTCCTTTGAACCTCGGGGGTTTGCCGTCGGGAAGCGGCGGACAAGGCAAATCGTCCACCACGGACAAGGTGAAGATCAACAGAACCATGGACACCTTTGGATACCTTTGGAACTGAAGGCTGACCTCCAAACCTTCCATTGATTAATCTTTATTCTCCACATGCTCGAAAGAAAGGCCATAGGCCTCCAATAGTGTAGAAAGTGTTTGCTCCGCTTAGCGTGGAGCTTCATGATCTTCATGTAAGTAGCTTCTGTGTTTACTTTCGGATCCTATGCGTAGCTTCTTCATGTAGCTTTAGAGCAGAACAACTTGCGTTTTTTGTAAGATCCTCCAGCAACACCCAAGGAACTGCAGCTGGAGGTCGCTTCCGCCATGAAAGGTTCATCCGAAAGCTCTCGTAGGCCCACCAAAAAGCATCGCTGATTCGCCAGGCTTCGAAACTGAGCGTGGAAGAGCTCCACTTTCACAGGAGTCTGATCCTTGGAGGATAAAAGGAGCCCCAACAGCTGTAGACTTGAGCTACTGGAATGTCCAAAGGTACGGTCTTGATGGATCTTGCAAACCCACGCGCGAACCCCCTGATGGGGACAGGCCGGGACCAACCGGCCGGGACAGGCTGCGAGCTCACCTGGGTCTCCCAGTCAGTCTTGAGGATTTCCCCCTAATATTGGACCATTCGGCGAGCTCGTTGTGAATACATGTCACCCCCAAAAGCACTGGGGCTCAAACGTGGGTATCTTGGTGCAATAACCAAGGGTGGAAGTAAAGGACACCTATAGCATCTCATACCTTTAGAATGCCCCCGTATCAGTTGATAAGTAAAAACACAGGGGATGTTTTTCAGGCCCGAGCGATGGACTCGCACAAATGGGACAATCTAGAGGTGGTCATTCTTGTCTTTTGCTACTAGAAACGATGCCCTTTGTTACTAGTAGCTTCTTGTTACCAGTAGTAATGCCAGGAGCTACTAGTAGCGTCTTTGCTCCTAGTAGTAATGCCCATTGCTACTCTTCAATGAGCTACTAATCCTCACCAATCTATGGATTGTCCTCAGGACGGTGACGACAGTGCACTTCTTGGCACAGGATTCACCCAGGTTTCCCTACTTTTGACGTTCTGTGTTCAGTACCAAGGATCCAAGGTCAGCATATCCGCATTCAGCGCCATCACTGAGGTGCTTTCTGACTTGATGGAGCTTCGGACCTGTTGCGAGATTCGCTCTTGGTCCTCCTCTGTGAAGAAGTCCAGCAACGAGCTTCTCACCTTGCGGCTGTGAACGGTGCGCCGCTCGTGGGCTGGGTGGCCACCACCGGGGTGGCCACCAAGACGACTCCGTCAAAAGGGACATCGCCCCGGGCATGTGCGGGGTCGGTGATGTCGAAACATGAATCAAGCGAGCCATCTATGGCTTTTTGACGGGTTTTGGATGCTTCTTGAGTGTGCAGAAATTGTTTTACGTGTCTCAAATTCATCCACTCCTCAATAGTTCTCATTCAGAACTGCATGATCTGAATCTGATCCAGGCATGGAGGGTACACAACCCGAACAAGTCGTCCACATCCCCGTCCAAACATGTATGTTCCAACGGCTGCTTTTTTTTGGGGCCCGATGATTCGGCATCACCACTTCCCAGCCAAGCAGCTTCTCCAGCTTCGGATTCACCATATCCCAACATGGTGGACAGCAGCCGAGTGCTCTCGCCGAGCAACTTCCAGGAGTCATCGACCTCCACGACTGCATCATAGGAGGCGTTTAGTAACGAGGTCACCACCCCCAGCTCCACAGTCCTTCCTTCCTCGAAACAAATGAGAAAAACTTGGAGAATTGGATAAGAAATGGTCTTCGACCAAACGACGCGGCCTTTGGGATGGTTGGAAAGCAAAAGTCTTGGAAAGTCTCAAATCATTTGAAATCCTTTTGATTGAGGCCGTGTTTCCAGGGCGTGCTTCAAGGTGGCATTCTCCTCCATCAGGTTCCGAGCAATGTACAGGCCCACCAACATCACCACCAGCACAGTGACAAGAAGAGGATAAATTGGGAGTTGGATTAGGCTGCTGCACAAGTGCAGGTCAGATTGCACCGACGCCATCCAATATGTTTGCAAGAAGTTCAGTCCCATACCCAGGAAAATGGTCGAGTTGCGTTGGGCCATCACTAAGAAGACGAAGCGAAAGCTAAAACTCAAAGTCACCACATCCCTAACATCGAGACGATCCAGCACAGGAAGAAGGCAACCATTCCAAGCAAAAAGACATGTAATAATTGAAGCATCCACTGTCTTGGGAGTGATGATCTGAGGCTTCCAAGTCACCAACAGTGCCAAAAAACCTTGCACAAAGAAAGCCAAATCATAGTCAGCCATGGATGACAGTGACCCGAAGGCTAAAAGCACCTGTCCGACAATCGTTCGGATAATGATGCCGGCCAAGATTAATTGCCAGATTCGACAGATCTTCTTGCAGCGCAATAGGTCCAATTCCTGAAAAGTCTCCTGGCTCATGGGCTTGCGACACCACTTCATCAGCGCTTGGACCATTGTGCGTGATGAAGGGATGGTCTTCCTGGAATTGGGATGCCAAATCCAGGAAGTCATACATAGCAAGGTCAAGACCTCAAGGGTCACAGCACCACATTGGAAAGCTGTTGAACGCTCCATGTGCCGCTCTTCCTCGTGCTCCAAAGAGAGCTCTGACAGCTTGAGGGAAACTCCAAGAAGCGGATTGCAGCACACCTTCTTAGCCTCCTTGGCTTATCGATGTCCTGCTGCTTCTCAGTAGGTATAAACGATAGTTCGATGATATTGGACGATATTGGAATATATTGGATGTATGATTCGATGATACATGTTTCTAGGAGTGCTTCTGCCAGAGTTGCCCAGTTTATCCCAAATCACCCAACTCCGTGTCGAACCACCCAACTGAACCACTTCACAAGTGAGATGGACCTTGGACCTTCAGCCTCAGACCGTTCCCAGAACTTGTTCGCACTGGAAGCGCGCTTCAGCTAAGAGAAAACAGCGACCGCGGTGGGCACACCGCGCTGGGAGGTTCGGCTTGGCTTCAAGGTGCTTGGAAGTGATCTTGTTTCTCTAATAGCGATGGCCTCCAACCTAACAGCGATGGCCTCCAACCTAATAGCAAAACTAGACCTTTCTTCCCACGAAGCTGACAGGACATCAGCTGTGTGTCATGGCCGGTCGCCGTGGTCGGCCTGTAGCGGAACCGCCATGTAGGTAAGACCCCGTTGGCAAGACGTCACGACCGACGACCGACTACCCTGCAAACAAATGACATCGCCATTTGATAAATTCTGTGTTTTCCGCAGATTCAAAAGCCGAACCTCCCACAATGGCCGGTCTCAAAAGATAAGAGAATGCTCCACATTCCCGGGAAATCCGCAGGTGTAACCCGTCTTCCATGGCAGTGCAATCCCAAACACAACACCCTTAAAACACAACACCCTCCCAAGGGCTTATCCTCAGCTTTTTCCCAAAGACCTCCTCGCATGCGGATTCTTTGGCCGAACACATAAGACACATCCATGACCTGCATGACCGGTGTATGACCTGCATGACCTCGTGCGGATTTCCCTCAGCAAACGTCCAATCTGCGCCCATTCACACACGAGGCTTCTTACTGGCTTCCGCCTGAGACGGTCCGCTCAGTCAGTGAGATGATGGCGGTCGGAGGAGATGAGACCCCGTAGAAAAGCAAAGTACTCGTCGATATAAATGGATGTGGGCTGAGCATACAAAACGAAAAGGCTGGTCTGCTTAGGTACATTAATTACCGCGCATGGCTTTCATGCATTTGCTAGGTGTTTTCAACCACATCCATGACCACCACATGAATATGATGGCCCGAGCAAAGAGCAAGCAGGTCACAAAGAACCCAAAAACTAGTTTGAGCAGCTTGTACTCTCCAGAACTGATGTTCTGATGTTGAGAATCCTCGAGCCAATGGAACTCCAACTCATCCAAAAAGTCGCACTCACTCGCATTGGCTCGATTGCATGACTCATGCAAAAGCATGTAGGGAACCATGTTGGATATCGCATAGGGACGTACTTGGACTCTGTGCATCAGAAGGGATGCCTTTAGAATAGTTCAACTTCTTGGACAAGTCCAATTGCAGGATCCAATACTTTTTCTGTGGTGCAAGGATTCGGCCCACTCCATGATGCTGCCGGCCCCCGGAAGTGGCGTTTTTTTCTTTTTTCCGCCATCGCATGGGTGAGATCCATGGCCAAGAGGTTCAGTAGTTGCAAAAGCTGGAGCCACTGTGCTCCTACGGATCCGGATCGGAGAAGAGTCTGCTGGCTGGCGGCTGGCATAGCATACAACTCACAACTCAGAACCAGTTCCAAAAAAGAGGGGCGACTTGGATCTTTCGGGTTTGGCAGTTGCTCACATGTGCATTTGAACTTGGGATCTGCGTGGGATGGAAGGATGCAGCAAAAGCAATACACTGTGAGTCACCGTGGGAATCACTGGCCCTGGAGTGTCAGACCACGTGTGGTCCTCAACGTCTGTCAGGTCCCCAGTGGTTTAAGAACCCCTCCTTCATCACATGCAAGGATGGCGGCATCATAACCTGGGCAAGATTGAACAAAGGCGATCCCATTACTTTACTGCTGAGCCCAACTTATATGTATACCAAGGTGCTTTGGTGTTGGGACTGCACCCAGTCGCACCTATCGGTCCGGGCCCACCAAGCACTCTGTATGCCAAGGTGCTTCAAAAACACGACCCTGTTGTTGCTTCTGCAGGTCTGGGCTGCAATCTGGTGCAGCTATGGATTTAGCACTTCAAAGCCTTATATATATATACTATATATATATGGTCTTCAGGATGCTGCGGACAGCTAAACACCCAGCATCTTTCTAGTCAAGCAGTCTTTCTTCAAATGACGAGGCGAAACGGCACGTGGGGTCGTTTCCTCGTGCGTGATAGAAAATGGAACAGAACAATACACGAGAGAGGGCTGTGAAAATCACTACACAATACTACACAATATACATCCATCAGTATGAGAGCCTTTCTGAGTACATGTCTACCTACATGTCTACCTGAAGAGTAAGGCCTCCCCCATGTCCATCCTCACTCAAATCCAAACAACAAACATCTTAGCTATATACGTGATCAGTATGGCATTATGATTCGTCATTCTTTGTCTCCACGGCCACTGTGTGAGCGTCCAGCTTCTTGGCCCTTCCGAATTCATCTGAATCAATCTTCCTGGACATCCCTCACCTGGTTGGAGACCTGGCCATGGCCACCATGGCCGCAGAACAAAAAACACCACACTTGACCGAGCCGACACCACCGAGCGCCATCTCGACCGCCACCTCCGAGACCGTTCGCTCCGAAAGCTCCGTCGAAGACCAGAAACTCATGAAGTTGGCTTCTTGACGATGCTCCAACTCTTGGAGCAAATTCAATGCCAAGCGCCATGAGGTCGCCTGGCCGCGTTTTGGACGAACTCAGACCCATGGTTTCATCATTTTTTAACCATGCAATTGAGTCTGTTTCCCCAACCAGCCTTTAAGACAAGGACCCTCCTTTTACTCAATCTGTGTGTGTATCAGAATGTATCAGAATATGGAGGCCTTCCAACAGCCGAGCGCCCCTCTTCTCTGAGCCATCCATGGGTGACTCTGTTCATGTGAACGAACATCTCGCCGTTCCCCACCTGGCTACAGGCCCGGATGGCCGCCGTGAAGGCGACCACGTTGCCGCGGAGGCGAGACTCCGCCAGCGACAAAAGCCACACGGCCTGGAGACTGTCGTGACCGGCCGTGAGACCCTGAGATCTACCAATGTCCGGCCGTCCTTGGTGCTGTTGTGGGGCGAAGCGGACAGTGGCTGCCGTGGCTGGGGAAGAAGAGAGATACGACCCATGGCTTGTGGTTCACCAGGGTTGACTCCCTCCAAAAAGAAACACTTGAGTGGCTGGACCCATGTGATGCTCAGCCTAGGCCCGCCGAGGCTCCCAATACTTGGGTCAGGTTTCATTTTGTGAAGTGACATGGAATTCTTGGCGGAGTCCTCATGATCACACAAAAGAACACCAATTGCTCCCAGAAGGGAACACTTCGAAGATTGCAAGCTCTGCCTTCCAGGTCATTTATATAAGTACCTTTTCTAGTTGCTGCACACCCCCAAAAAACAGTCTGCAAGAAGGAATTGCAGGCCTCCTGCCAGCGTTTCCCTTTCTCGCAGGCGCTGATGGCGGAGCTGTAGGTGATGATCGTCGCTCCATTATCGAATAGCTCCAGCGCCAATGACAGGAAAACTAAGGCCTTCTGCCATTGCGCACCCTTCCTCGGAGGACTTGGCTTCCAATTCAGTAGTTAAACCAACAGAATCTTATGGAATGGAGACAAACTCTTGTCTTGCAGGTAGCTATAAATGTCTCTCGTAGAATTCTCCAGCCCAAGCCAAAACACTCAGTTTAACCAACCCTCCCATGACACTTGCCCTAAAGTCGAGATGCTTCCGTAGAAGGGCAAAGAGCACCCAAGATCACAAACACTAGAGACAACCCCTGGGCTGTACTAGTTTTCCGGATGAAATGCCAAGACCAACTTTATTCAAATTCAAGGTCAGTTCCGGGGGAGTATTGAAATGCTTCTGTCATTGACTTGATTTTATAGTTGTGGTGTTTTGCATGCTTGCCATCTCTTAGCTGGGAAAACATGTTGATTTGCACATATTTGCACGTAGAAACAAAGCGGCCTGAAGGTCATATAGAGCCGAGTGCGTTCTTGAGGTGTCAATGTGACTTTTCAAGTTTTTGTGGCTGGTGTTTTTTTTCTACATCATGTGCATCTTTCTGAAGGTCGTGTCAAATGTATATTATATGTTCTACACTACTTCAAAAAGTCTGTGTTCTACCAGCAATGGCACGTGCCATAGCTGGATGTCAAGTACAAGGGATACCTCCGCATACGAACAAGCAGTGCCACCTCGAACGGGTCTCCTCTGTGCAAGGAGCTCCAATGCCGCAATCACCGTGTTGTAGGTGATGATGTTACCCTGCGATTGCACGACAGCGCTGGCACAATCAGTCAGGACATGTGTGGTATTCAATCCCATGGTACATGAAGACAATACAGCGGCTCATGCATTGCTTTGGGTCAACGCCTAGCACTGCTGTGTAATTTCCATGCAATTTCAGCCCCAAGGCCTTATGGCGGACGTTCTATTGGCTTGGCCAGCATCTATCATGTCGCAAACACATCCATGGTCTATAGACCACAACCCACAATAGTTGGTGTAGACATTCTGTTCCCTGCAAGTAGTGAGTACCTAGCTCAGTCCTCCCTTTCTTCGTCCCCAACTCAACATCCTATCACAGCCATGACACCTGGATGCTGCGACCATATTGAGAACATATAATCTCTGTCAGATTGGTACTTCTTAGCATCAGGGGTGAAGGCTATATAGATGGGGTTTTCGGTGCCAAGTGAACGATTGAAGATGGATGCCATATCCATCCATATCCAACTTTTCAGAGCTCAGTACAGGCAGGATGTGCTGTCAAGGCGAAGGCGCCTTCCCCGACATCAACTACCGAGTCGGGGATGGCTACGCCTTCCAAGGCACTACAGCCAGCAAAGGCTACAGCTCCTATGCGAGTCACTGAATCAGGGATGATCACACTGGCTAAAGCGATGCAGTTCTGAAAAGCCGCTGCTTCGATTTCGGAGACAGATTTAGGGATGCTGACGCTGGCCAAAGAGCTACAACCATCAAAGGTCTGCTCCCGAATGCACGCCAAGGAATTTGGAAGATCCAACAAAACCAAAGAGCTGCAATTCTGAAAGGCACCAGCATCAATATCCGTCACGGACTCTGGGATGCTCAAACTCGCTAGGCTTCGACAGTCCGCAAAGGCATATGCTCCGATCTGCCTCACCGACTCTGGGATCGTCACGCTCACCAAGGAGCCGCAAGCTGCGAAGGCGTGGAGGCCAATGGACTCCACGGAGTCGGGGATGAAGACTGACACCAAAGAGCTGCAATTTTGGAAACCTCCAGCCTCGCAAGAGAAGGGCGCACCTCGCGCATATTTGGTTGTGGTTTCTAGCTTGGCACCAGGCCTTTTTTGGAGGAACTATTCAGTCTTGGAGTGAAATCACCAAACAAGTTGAGCGACGATTGTGGTGGTGGCCTATTAATCCACGAATCGACAACATGAGAGGATTTGGACCCAAAGCTGATCGCCGAGAGCTGGTCGATCTTGGTGAGCAAAGAGTTTCTTATATTTCTTGGGAGAATGCAAACGACTCGTAGGGAATGAGGGAAACGCCTCGCCCCTCAACAAAGACTCCTTTGGATTCATTTCATGTTATATCCTCATTCCTTACGAGTCGTACCAGTCAGAATAATTCTCTGAACGTCTGGCAAAGCCACTTAGGATCTTTCAGTTCCTACAGTAGCAAATCGGAGCATCTGAGTTGCAAACATGGCCGCTCTCTGCTCGAAGAAAAAGCATCTTGTTTTGACCCTTCTCGGCTACTTCAAGAGATCGGTCAATTGGTTAAGCATGACACATGCAGCTGAATAAATAAACAAAGCATCTTCACCCCAAAGCCTGACCAGCTCATGAAACACATTTGATCCCTTTACACCTCCATCCTCCACCGTCTCACTCCTTTCGCCTCTTCAGGTCCCATCTTGATCCCATCCCCTCAGCCTGAATCTCACGCACTGACCTGGGTAAGCAAATCTTCCGCAAACCGCTGCAGTGGGAGAAGGCTCCCTCGCCCAGGTCCAAGGTCCCACTGGGCGCCCTCGTCTCATTCCACTCCACGGTTTCAAGGCCGCTGCTTGCGAAGGAGAAGGGACCAATGGAGCTGACTCGCCTTTCCAAAGTAGAGATGGTGTGGATATTTAGATACATGCATAATACAGTCATATAGAGCATCTGTGTGTGTGTGTGTGTTGGGTTTGGATAAATAAATGTTTCTGCAGGACAGAGATGGACAAAGTATGACCACTAGATATTGGATTTACTACACTCCGACTCACTAACATGGAACTATAGACAATGGCCCTTTGGAAGACTACTTTCCTCCAGAAACAGTTTTTCTTGCACTTCCATGTGAGTGAGTCGGAGGCATTGAATTGTTGGTTTGGAATCAAAAGCCTAAGGCACAGCACTAGGCAGTTGGCAATCCATGGTACACCCTGGAAGACTAACATGGACCCTGAAACCCACTGGTTGGTAGCGGAAAAACTCTTCCAGGGGCCATTGTCAGGGTCTATGTTAGTTTTCGGGAGTGTACACTTGCTGACTTGGGAAGTTTTGCACCAAGTCTCTTGGGAAGGTGAATTTCTGTCAATGATCGGCAGTTGGCAAAGGCGCTGTCTTCAATGGCAGTGACCGATGAGGGGATGGCCAAAGAGGCCAAAGAGCTACATCCCTCAAAGGTGCGCTCTCGAATACAGGTCAAGGTTTCCGGAAGCTCGACCTTGGCCAACGAGATGCAGTTTCTGAAGGCCGCAGCTTCGATCTCCATCACTGAGCTGGGGATGGAAACACTCACCAAAGCGCTGCAATCAGCAAACGCATGAGCTCCGATCTGCGTCACGGATGAAGGAATCCTCAGAGATTCCAGTGAAGAACATCCTGCGAAGGCGTGTAGCCCGATGCAAATGACTGACTCGGGGATCTCGATGCTTCTCAGAGAGCTGCAGCATGCCTTGCTGGTCTGATTATGTGGATTCAACAAATAAGGATGAAACCTTGATGAAACAGGTCCTTTGTCAACTCCCCTCATAGCACAAAGATACTGTCTTGCTGGAAGAAGTCGTGCATTCCGAATGGAACGTACGTCCCTGTGCGTCCCCAAATCTCATGTGGCCGCGTCTCCGAACCCACTCCCTTTCCACCCAGGCCATGACCGGGCCCCCACCCCCAGCCGAGGCGCAAAGGCGCCCTCCTGGATCTCCGTCAAGGCATCGGGGATCGCCAGCGTCGTCAGGGAGCGGCAGTTGCGAAAGGCGCCCAGGTCGATGGAGCTCACCGAGCTGGGCATCGTTACCCTGGCCTGGGGGGGAAAGGGAGTGTGGGGAGGAGAGCTCTGGGGGGATGTTCACCGTTTGAAGTGGAGTGAGGAAGCCTTCAAAAGCGAAATCTGGATACCGGAGGAGGGTGGATGAGGGCATCTGTAACCGGTCAGCCTGTTGAGGTTGGTATCAAGCATACTGGTGGGAAAACCTGTAAAAGATTTGACATAGATTGGTCCACAACCACACAATCTACTGTTACTGGGCTCAGGTTTTTTAGAGTGCTTAGGATGGATCAAGGGTAGGCCCCTACAAAGCACTGCTGTCCTTTCCTTTACTTCTGAGTCAAACATCCTCCTTTCGCTCATTTTCACCACCACATCTCACCAAAGCTCTCCAAAACTTCGCCGAGTAGCTAAAGAGCTACAGTTGGCGAAGGCATAGGCTCCAATCTGTGTCAACGAGCTGCCCAAGCTGGCGCTCACCAAATTGCCTGCGTCTTCGAAGGCAAAGTCCTCGATGCGGAGCTCGCTCTCGGGGAACCTCAAGACCAAAAAGTCCTCCTTGTCACAAGGAACCTCGGCTCGGAGCAGCTCTACTTTTAGACAAAGAAAACATGTCAAGGCAATATCTGAAAGCTTTTGGAGGGACTTGTGGAAAGGTGTCTGATTGCGTTTTTGCTTCACACAGTTCAGCCTGGTAGCAGACTGCAAATTGACACATTCGACTTCCTTGATGCTAAAGACCACCTGTACTGCTACCTCTGAAGAGATTCCTGCTTGGATCACAGTCTCCTGATTTCTGACCAACTTTCGATCTCCCACGATGACCTCAACAAGGCTCATCTTCCGTGTCAGTTCATCCTCCGCAACTTGCAAGCCCTTCAGCTGTCGTTTCAAGTCGCGGATGGTGGTGTCAGGCAAGACGTCAATGGTGGCATCCTCGCCTTTCATCTGGTGCACCAGAATCCGCATCGCCATGGCAAAGAACAGCACGTACTTGCCGTTCTTTCCATGGGATCCACATTCTATTGACGTGGAACGCAGGTCTTCTGCGTTGAGGATCGTGTCAACTGAAGTTGCTTCGTGTGGGAAAAAGAGGTGAAATGAGCCGATCCCATCAGCTGCTATTATAGCGTTTCTTGGCAGCTCTAGACTCTCATGCAAATTAAAGTCCTAGGATCCTAAGATCTAAGGTTCTTTGTTCAGCTGCGGATCTCGCAGAAGAACCCTTTGTTGCTTGGAGCTCCTTTGTTCTCCTTGAACCACTCTTTGCTTCCATCCAGTCTGACCGCTTCAGACCCAGCAACCCATGAGCAGCCCCAAATCGAAGCGTCAACACGTTTCTCTTCCTAGTGTTCTTGTTCCAAAAGATTAATGATGACTCGACATGATGATTCTATGATACTGCATGATGACCTGAGCACTTCCTGACCACCTACATCCTCACCCATCCGCCGGTCTCGTAGTGGATGCGCACTCAATCGAGCTCAGTCCTGAATTCTTCGACGAGACATCTCTCCCAGCAGACTGAGCGCCATGGGCCACTCTTCTCGGTCCTGGCTGCGGAGGCCGTTTTTTCATCGCGGCCGGGCAAATTAGTTTAAATCAATTCTAATATATATAGTTTTTTTGTTACTACTAGTAAGGCACCTGTTACTACTAGCGTGGCACCTGTTACTACTAGTTTTCATCGTCTTCTGCCCAGAAGAGCAGCACTTCTTTTTTACTACTAGTGAACTGACGAGTCACATGTTCTTCACCAGCACATGTTCTGGTGCTCGGCATTCGCAGTCGCGACCAAAACACCCGCTCGTTGCAGTGGGTCACCAAATCTGCTGTATATCTCCGCCCCGCTCAAACATGAACGAAATGGGGTCTACGGTCTACTCTAACATCGGCAGAACACAGCAGAAAGGAACAAAAGGCCCATGAGACTTTTTCAGACTCTATCAGGATAACCACCAGGACCATCCAATGGGTGTCCAATAGACTACCCTACCCTACTTACAGGTCTCCATTGGGCACCCGTTGGAAGTGCTAGGCAGGTTCTGTACTTACATGTGACTTGATTACTGTTGATCACTGATGGGGTACGTTAGGGGTAGTAGATCCACTGTGGTCATCTGTCATATCGATGGGAGAGGATTCTCATTGTTCCCAAGAGCTGTAGATTTTGTCCATGAGCCTCCTGAGCCTTTCAAAATGAATCTGAAGCCTCCGAGTAGTCGGCTTCAGCTTTTTCCCGAATGCGTAGCGAAGGGTTCTCGTTTAACTCTTGGGGGTCTGGGGGTAGAGCCTTGTTCGCGATCCGTTGTTTCTACGTCCGCAACCGTCCGCAACCGTTCGCAGTAGAGCGCTAAGGCGCTGCCATTGGGGGAAGCTTTTGCAAGTGACTTTTCATGGATGTGTCACGTGTCAGTTTGCGCCGCTATTCCATTGTGATTTGCATGAAAATGACATGCCGCGCAAGAAGCCAAATGTGTTTCGCTGCACAGGCGCAGCGTTTTGTGAGATCTGCAGATTGCTGCGCAGTTCCATTGGGATTAGCGTTTGGAGAGTCGTGTTTTTGGGGTGTTGGATGTGGCCGTGCCATTGGGATTTGCGTTTCAGGGTGTGGCATCGAAGCTCTGTTTTCGTGACAAGTCTCAGCTGAAATGCCGATTTTGGACTCTGGGAGTGTGCTCCGAACGGGTCGAAATCATTACAAACGTGTGGTGTGGTGCAAATTTTGTTGAAGCTCACATGAGACGATATTGTCACTTTTCGTGGCAGGCGCAGTACTTTGTGCGGCTTTTGAGGTGTGGAAGTGCGATTCTCGTGGCAGGCGCAGGGAGTCGTGAGGTTGCGAGGTGTGACGGAGGTGACATTTCGTGGCAGGCGCAGTACTTTGTGCGCGTTAGACGTGTGGACGCGGAAAGATTCGTGGCAGGCGCAGGGAATCGGGAGGGTTGTAAGTTGTGAGTTGTGGTAGAGGTGAATGTCGCAGTCACATGGGGATTGGCGTGTGAGCGGGTGTCGCTTGGAGGGGCTGGAATCGCGAAACTGCTTGGCAGGGCTGCGTGATGTGTGTGCTCCGATGGTGGACTTTTGGAGGAAGTCTCATGCGAAACGTTCGTTTTGCAGACTTTGACCTGTGAGTTTTTGAGGAAGTCTCGTACAAAACGCTCGTGTTGGGGACTTGACATGTGACTTTTGGAGGAAGTCTCGTACGAAACGCTCGTTTTTGAGACTTGACGCGTGACTTTTGGAGGAAGTCTCGTACGAAAAGCTTGCAGCCTCGCAGCGTGACTTTTGGAGGAAGTCTCGTACGAAGAGTGTGCCCTACAGGAGTGTCCCACAAGAGTATCCTACAAGAGTGTCCCACAAGAGTGTCCTGCAAGAGTATCCCACAAGAGTTTCCTACAAGAGTGTCCCACAAGAGTGTCCCGCAACAGTGTCCCACAAGAGTGTCCTACAAGAGTGTCCCACAAGAGTTTCCTACAAGAGTGTCCCACAAGAGTGTCCCACAAGAGTATCCCACAAGAGTGTCCTTCAGGAGTGTCCCACAAGAGTGTCCCACAAGAGTTTCCTACAAGAGTGTCCCACAAGAGTGTCCCACGAGAGTGCCCTACAATGGTGTCCCACAAGAGTGTCCTACAAGAGTGTC